CAACTGTACGGCGCAGCTTAGTGGGGTCCGCGCGTTCACTCAACCAACTGATGTGCTGCAGGAGCCTAAATGCCCACATACGGAAATGTCGAATTGGGCCTGAGACAGATATTTAGGCCCGCCTTCTCTTAGGGCGGCCATTTCGCTTGCAGGCGCCATAGCCCAGAACAATGTGAGGTCTGATAGGGCCAACTGAGGGCTCGATCTTCACAATAATAATAATAATAATAATAATAATAATAATAATAATAATGCAATGAATGTAAGCCTTTCCCTTTTCTCCTCCTTCTTCTTTTTCTTTTGCTTATCAAACCGCCAGTGTTCTTCCCTCAATATCGTGGTGTCTTTCCCTTGTTCCTCTTCTACTTGCTCCCCCACGTTTGCGTACCGATGCGCGCACGTCTCTCTCTCTCTCCCCAAACGCTCACACATTTTATCGATAGGACGAGCAAAAATGAAATGAATCTTCTGCTGAAACGGGGAAATATACACTACCACTTTTTGATTTGCTCGTTCTATCGTTCCAAGTAGTTCGTGGCGAGTCATGGTTTAAGACGTAACTATTGGGCAAGGTCGGAGACTTATCTTCTCTCTCTCTCTTTCCACACACTCACACACACACACTCACACACAGACACACAACCGAGCGTGGTAGTGCATATTGCCATGTTGCAGGGATGGATCCATTTAACTTTGCCAATTTTATCCAATTGAAGTACCGTGAAATCTGCCACGTGACTCACACATACACACTCATACGTACACATGTACGCTCACACACACACATACGTACACTCATACTCACCATTCGCAATCCCCTTCCTCTCTTCTCCCCCTTCTTCCCCTCCTTTCTGACTTCTATCCTTGTCTTCCTCCTCCCCAATCTTGCTTTACCTCTTTCTACTTTTTTTCTAATGGATGTACATGCAACACCGAAGTCGGCCTATGCTTTTATGTTCATGATGACTAAATCTTTAAAAGAGGACAATGATAACTCTCAACCAGCGATAGTAAGTCAAAATAAAGATAATACTCATAATGATAAGAATAACAATAATAATAATAAAAAAAATAATAATAAATAATAATAAAAGTATTTGCGAGTGTGAACGCTACATTGAAAACCAAGTTACGGAATCTCCTAGATGTCCAAGTGGTTGCGTTCAAGCATGGGGTATAGTCTCACTGAGGATCTGCCGGCCATATTGATTATAATATCCAAAGTCGTTCTTTCACCGTCGGGCGCCTAACTTAGTCTATCGATAGAAATAACAGGGGGAACAAATTGCGAGATTCGCACGCACACATATACACTAAAGAAATGTATTTTTCCTTGTTTTAACGTTAGATTCACTCCAACTCACTTATCCTATAGTTGGAAGTGCTACGCGACCAGTCGCGAGAATCGGAGATTCTCACACACTTACTTGGTAGTAGTAGTAGTAGCATACACTTTGGCGATTTAATGGTAAGTTCGTTTTGATCCCACCCATCCATTCGATGGAGGTAGCATGTAACCAGTCTCGAAGCTAGGGACTTACCTGACCCCTCTTCTTTTCTTCTCTGTCGTAGTCGTCTCCTCCGTAGTAGATGCCTTCGTTAGTCAGATGCTCCCCACTGCGTAGGTATGTGTTTATCCACTTTCCCCTCTCCTTCCTTCCTCCTCTTCTCCTCCTTCTCCTCTTTCTTCTCCTCCTTCTTCTTTTCCTTCTCCTCGCACGCCTCCTTCTTGCTATCGTCTTCTTGCGTTGCTTCTCTTAGTTCTGATCCGTCCTTATTTCGTCGTTCGCTTCATCATCACGTGCGACCGACTTCTCCCTTGTCGTGATTGCCACCTTCCTGCGAGCACCTCCCTCCTTGCTGGCGAGCGCCTCCTCTTTTTGTGCCCACTCCTTCTCACCGGACATTCGCTCATTCAACCTTCGCGCAACACAATCTCCGCCCTTGAGATCGCCTCCTTCTCTCACGTGATCGCGCGATTTTTTCCCTTGCTTTCCCTGCTCCTTCTTCTTCTTCTTCTTCTCACATCTCCTCTCATCTACGCTTTTCCTCCCCACTCCGGGGCACTAACTCCGTCGAGTCTCTACGACGGTGGCGAGGCGTTCCGGTAGGACCACCGGGCTTTCGATCACAATTGGCTTTTGCAATTGGACTCGTAGCCCTGGGTTCGAACGGATCCTCCCTCAATAGCAGACCAGATTCGTTCACGTTCAGTCCTAAATTTTTGTTTGTAGAAACGGACAAGGAAAAATAAGAGGAAAAAAAAAAAAAAAGTTTGAAAACTAAATCTAACTTTTAACTTCCCCGTTGAGACAACTGTCGGATTCGGGGCTCAAGCTTACTAACCTCCTGATATAGAGGTCACGGGTTCGAATCCCGCCCGTCTGAGGGCGGGTGAAAAAAAGGCAGGCCCTGCCCCTCACAACTCGCAAAAGGAGCTAGCCCAAAGTCAGGTCGGACTCGATCCCAGGATCCTCTGCGTATCAGTCTGTGCCTGTACCTACTGGGCTAGCTCCTAGTTCAGTTTTATTAGGAGCTAAATTGCCCTAAGTCGAGTACAGGGCCCGGTCTAATCAAGACCCGCAGCCTACCATAGGGGAAACCCAGACCACTGTTGTCCATCGCAGCCTGTTACAACAGGTCAGGCCCCTTTTGTCTAGTTGCCCCGACCACATGGTCGGACCACATGGTCGGGGCCTTTATTAATTTCTACCTATATTCTATCCTCCGTGAAGAGGTTTCCCGCCTCGCTTTTCCGACACACTAGACGTCTGCGGACTTCAGCCGAAACAGTCATACTTTCTCAGTCGTCAACTGACTGAGAAAAACCGTCGCCGCGTCCCCCGCGATTTTTTTTTCTTTCCATTTGACTAACCTTTCAACCTTGTGGTCGGAGGTTTTACTCACTACTAACCTCTCTGCAGTCTCTGCGCGTGTCGGAATTGTGCGCGTGGTCATTCAAATTTTTAATCCACTAACCTTCGTCGTCTTTGCATATGCTGCGACGACGCAGACGAGTACTCAAAATCTTCAACCCCTAACTCTTGTCCGTTCGTGCCGTGTTTTGACCCTTGCGGTTACTACACTTTTACGACCATAATGGTCGAGGGGTTTGCCCCAGTTTCTGTTTTTAGGCGTCTCCGCTCTAACAGTTGGTGTCGACATTGTGTTGACTGAAAAATTATGAGCGGATACCCTTGTAAGGGTGTCAGCTCCGACAGTCTTCCTAGACCCCATTAAGCGACGTCCCCGACGTTGGGGAATCTAAATGCAAACAAAAGGATTCTGACGCGACAAGTTGTCAAAATCCGATTTTCTGGATGAAGTTGTGGTTTGAAGTCCCTCACTGTCTCCCTTGGTGCGTCCATACTGCCAGGATTTCAACCTGGGTCTCCCACATATCCGAAAATTTGTAATACCAAAGAAAAGTTATTCCATATGACTCAAAGTGGGGATACTGGATCTGTACTACAGTTACAGAGGTCACCAAGGAAGATAATGATAGCCTCTCCCCTCAACTTTAGACTTTATTTGCCAGGATCTCGTTGGGTGTCCGAGGAGTTAGGAATCATAAATGAATCTTATTCTTTGGACGAGGGCATCAGCCTTAGTCTGTTTTTACCGTCCCACCCGAAGTCTAATGCGAGGGGATCGGCAACCTTGGTCTCAACCCACCACAGTCGGTTGATCAGGCCTGATCTGTGGCCCACCACGTTGTTAATCTAATGGTGGTACCTGTATTGGTTACGCAACACAGGATAATTACCTCCTATCAAATATCTAGACCTGAATCTTGATCCCCCCGATATCTACCTGAACCGATACTATCATTAGGGAGTCCTTCCCTTCAAGTTTAGTCCCAGGCCGTAATCGGAAGGCTCGCTGCATGGTTGTACTTGGTCAGCAGCCCACGCTGAGAGTTACGTCCCAACGATGTCAATTTTCCACCATAGGCTTGGTAATTTTAAGTCCCTCAGACTGACCTCCATAAGTGGATGAGCGACGATCATTCCAAAAATACACATATAAAATTATGTTTGACCAAATAAATTTTTTCTCCCCTCGTCAGTTGTCTTTGAATGGGTGAACAAACCCCATTGAATATATATATGAAAGAAACAATATTAATAAGAATGATTCAACATAATTGTAAAACTTGTCTCGGATCGAGGGGCATCGTCAGAGCCAATTAGGGGTCGTGCCTACCAGACCTCAATCATAGGCTGGATAGACACACGTCCCGGGGATCTTTTTCCAATAGAAAACTCAACCAAAATATTCATAATGAAAGTATAAAAGTATGTGTTTGACCCCTTGTGTTGTCTGAAGGCAGAAAAACATTCATTCCACTCATAACATACATTTTTCTGATTCACAGGGTTTTCTCAAATGTATAATAACTTTGACTTTTCCATATCCCTTTTTAGGGTCTTTTTCAAAAATAATAATATAAACAAGGCATAAAAATGTCTCATTATAAGTGCAAAACTACTTTTAGACTTTGCAAATCTCATTTCATTTTGTCACTCTTAAACACTTATGCGCTTTTCTGAGCATCCTGGTTCAAGATTTGACAGCATAGACTGTACATACATCAAAGTACACATTTCATTAACAAAAACCAAGCAATGGACCAACTCAATTATGAAAGTGCAAAGTGTTCAAGTTCCTCATAGGTATACCTCGCAAATAACTTAGGATAAAGAAACTCAATTGAATACAAAGTATATGTCAACCTGATCCAGACTGATGTACCAAGCCTCGAGACATAAAATGAATCATACGTTTGATCTATCCTCAATTACTAGAGTACAATTGTCGAGTCAGAAGAACATACATGATGCTACAAAATCTCCTAATCCTAGCAACTGTGCAAAAGGTACATACTTTGTTATTGACTAAAACACTCTATCAAATGCTCGCAAGAAGGATTCAGTAACAGGTTCACCATACTACCTCCTTTATCCCTGATCCCTAATATACAATGCCTTTTTGAAAGGAATTCCAAAATTATTTGATTCTAGTCCTCTAAGATGAGTCCCAGCTGCTCATACAATTGGACCCTGAATGCCTCCTTGGTTCTCTTAATCAGATTTCCTCTCCTATCGACGAGTCTATTATTCTCATCCAGGCCAACCAACCCTTTTGCCCTATCTGTCTTAAACCCAGGACAATCATCTCTCCTGTCGATTCCTTTCATGCAATACCAACATAACTTCTTCTCCTCTTCCTTTGATCTCTTTGCAAATGATGGGATATCATGTGATGCTGCCCCAATCAATATCTCAAGGTAGGATCTCTTCCTATCCTGTCCCACTCTGTAATCAACTAGTGATATTTCCCCAGCATCCTTTTCTGGCAAGGTGACAATCCCTACCATCAACCCCCTGTATTGACTGTTATCCTCAAGTCCTTTCTCACCTCCTTCCATCCTTGAATTTTCCTTTTTGTCCTCAACCTTCTTAGCATCCCCTTCTTCAATCTTCGCCTGAATATCCCTCTTTTGTCTTTTCAAAACCTCTTTCACCTCCTTCCATCTGTTTTCTAATTTTTCACTTTCCTGTTTCCTTTCGTTTTTCTCTGCTTCAATCGCCTTATCTTGCTCACTGACCCTTGCTTCCAACTTACCAATTGCTTCCACCTTCACTTCCAGCTTTCCCTGCTCAATCTTCGTCTTTTTCATCTCAACCTTCAAACCTACCATCTCATTCTTCACTTTCGTCCACTCCATGTCCCTTCTCTCTCCCCTTGCTCTCAACCTTTGAATCTCTTTCAGGATTTAAGGGACATGGCTCGCTACCCCTTGTGTGAGTAGCTCTGTCTTTTCCTTCATCCTTTCCGAACTTCCAATCCCCTTCTCCTTTCTTCTTCCACTTTTCTCAACCTGCCATCCACTTATGCCTCCCTCTCAAGGATCCATTCACAATCTTCTCTGAGTAGCTCATGCAACCGGATCAACTTGTTCACATTAGTTGCTAGCTTGGAACTGATCACGGTCTCAGAGAGTAGTATCATTTCCAACTTCAGGCTCCAAGGTGCGTCTGAAGGCAACTCATTTTCTTTTAACGAGGTCAGAGCTTGATTCCTCCACTCCCTGTTTTCTTTCTCTTTTCTCTGCCTCTCTTCCTCTGTCCATCTCCTTGTGCCTCTTTCTTTTGGAGACTCATTGGAAGTTGGCACTTCAGCAGTTCCGGATGACCCTGCTTCTTCAACCTTCTCATTGTTCTTTTCCTTCCCTTTTCTTTCCTTCACCTTCTCATTTCCCTTCTTTTCCTCTCCAGTCTTGTCACTGCCCTCCACTTTCTTCTCACTGTGCTCCTCCTCTCGTGTTTTATCTTCCCTTATCGAGTTACCTCCATCTTGAGCTCTAACCTCATCATTCCCCTGCTGAGGAGCTGTGTCATTTCCCACATTCTCCTTCTGAGCTCTCCTCTCTATCATATCTCCTCTCTTGCTAATCCACAACCCCTACTCCTAAAGTAGTTGTTTCTTCTTCTGCCGCTGCACCTCCAAGGGGTATACCTTTCTCATTTTGACAAGGAAACTCCCCCAGGTGTCTGACTCCTCCCTGACCTTCTTCACTGCCTCATATTCCCTTAGCGCTATTCTCCTCAATACTTGTTTCATCTTCTTCCTCTCACCCCACCGCCTTTTCTCTGAGCAAAGGTTGATACTGTCCTCGAAATCCTCCAAGTTGGTACTATCGAAGATGATATCATCTCCGATCTCATCCCTCGTAAAGTCCCCATACTTCGCCCACATATCAGCTTTGAAATCCAACCACCCCAGACAATCTGAGGCAATCTCATATGTTGCCTCGTTACATTCCCCCAGACCCGCCACCTGCTGAAGCATGGTCTGAGTGTCCCACTCTCTTCTGAAGGCATACTCCTCAAATTCCCTCAGAAAAACCCTCAGATTATCCTTTTTTTTTGTAAATAGACATCCCATGAGAATTCTTTGTTACCAGCTGTGACTTCTTTCGTCCTTTTCTTCCAGGAGTTGTCTTGGAAGGACCCGCCATCCCTCCCTTCTGTGCCATGGCTGCCCGTTTCATGGGTCACGCCTGCACACAGGAAAAAAAAGGGAGTGACAGATAAAGGGAAAAGTCATCAGCTGGTTAACAATAAAATATTCGCAAAGGAAATGTAATAACAAAGTTTTCACAAGATCATTAGGTTTTTCTTTCAACTTTTATCAACTCACCTCTTGCCTCATTTTGAACTTCTTCAGCCTAGATCCTGAAATCCAATCTTTTTCTTGTGTTTCATCTATCTCTTCAAGTTCATAGGCTCCATGATTCCCTCTGCGTCTGACTCTGAAGGATCCCAACCATCTCTTGTCCAACTTCCTTGACCATTGCTTTTCGAGTGAGGAGTCGTACAGCAGTACTACATCTCTGATCTCCAATGGTTCATCTCTTACGCGCGAAGATCTATCCCACCTTTCTTTGTCCTTTCTACGACTGTCAGTCACTCTCTCCACTGCTTCCTGAATCCTCTCTTCAGTGACACTGACCTGTCTGAACCTGATGTCAAGCAACTCTTCCAAAGGCATATCGTTCTCAAGATCCTGCCTTCGCCACGTCTTTAAGAAACTTTCTATTGGAAACATAGCATGCCTTCCATACCACAAGGTCGCAGGGGCATAACTTGTGGTTCTCTTAGCCGTAATGTTCTCGACAAAGAACACTGTTCTCAGAAATTTCGGCCACAGGTTTGACTTTCCAGTTGTCCACTTTGCCAGCAAGTTAGTGATCATGTTGGGTCCCCTTTCAACAGGTGCATTCGCCTGCGGATGTGCTCTGGTCGTGTACTTGACAATAACTCCTAGGTCGTCCAGCAACTCTTTCACTTCCCCACACGTAAACTCAGACCCCCTTTCCATTGTAAACTCCACAATGAAAGGATACCGGAGGTAATATTCTTTGATGCATTCTACCAAGATTACTCCTGTCTTGGTTTGGATGACCTTTCCATCAACAAATCCCGTGAGATTATCTCGGGCATCAAAGATATAGTTATAGTCTTCAAGTCCTAATGACATTGCTAGGAGATCCAGATGGATCACTGCCCCCACATCCTTGATATATCTCGGATGTAGGGGTTCCTTGCACCTGATTGGAGACCTGATCTGGCAAGGGACGCACGACTCGCAGTACTTTAGGCTCATTCCATACATACCCTCCCAAAAGTACAGTTCAGTCACCTTCTTAATTGTAGTGGCGAAACTCCTATGATCTCCTACAGGTCCGTCATGAAGTGCTGCTATCACGTCGATCTGTCGATTCCTACCACAAATGACCCTCCTGGGAGGTCCTCTTTTATCTCTGATGAAGAGGTGGTCTCCCCTCACTATATAATGATCTCTCATACGAAGAGTTTTATTACTAACTTCCCTCTCTCGCTTATCCCCGGAGAGAAGAAGTCTCATTTCTAAATGAAATCCATCATATTCTTCTTCCCGGAAATCCTCTGAGATTTTTCCTTGTTCAAACTCCTCTTCCTTCAACTCCTCATCAAATTTGAAATCATCCCCCAACACTATCTCGTCTGCCTTTACTATCTCTTCTTCATTTTTAACCTGAACTTGCAAGAGTGAATTGACAAGATAGTGCACTCTCCCTATAGTCACCAGGTGCTGATCTACCTGCTTCTTTCCTGCCTCAATCGTCACTGGATCGTCAGTCAGTCTGTAGGTCTCAGCCAAAGCCAGCTCCTTCATCCATTCTTCATTCCTTTCTCCCCATTGGTCTTCTTCAACGAAAGTCTTCAACACCAACCTATCAACCGTTACAAAAGTTGTTGGAGCGTACCACATGGATTTCCCTCTCCTTGTATCCCTATCATTAACACTCAGTCTCCATGAATTCATATGGAGCTGCATATCATCTTCATCTAGGAATCCATCCACTTGTAGAGTTTCTTCCTTGGCATCTCCCGTTTTCTCTCATTCTATCCTGCTTAACTCATCAACCCTGTTCTTGTTCCCTGGGATATGTTCCAATTGAAAATCGAACATCCAGATGTATGTGAGCCACCTGGCGATAGTAGGGTCCGTGGAGAGAAATTCTTGAGGGAATATACAAGGGCAGTTGGATCTATTCTCAGGACAAACCTTCTCCCATAGAGATAGTGCCTAAAGATATGCAGGCAGTGCAGCACTGCCAAGGCCTCCTTTTTGAATTGAGAGTAGTTCCGCTGAGTAGTATTGAGGGTTCGACTCTCAAAACGCAAAGGTATTTCTTTCCCTTCCAGATCTGCCTGCATTATGACTCCTCCCAGAGCGGTGGGTCCAGCATCAGTCTCTATGATAAATGGTCGCTTATTAACAGCCTCATAATCAGGGACCCCCAACACAAGACCTCCTTCCTCAAACTCCTTCTTCAAATTTTTCACTACCTGTTCCTACTTCTCTCCCCATTTTCATTCCTGATTCTTTCTTACCAGCTTCCTCACATGTTCAGTCTTTGCAGCAAACCTTTCGATGAAGATTCTCCAGAATCCGCACGTTCCAAGAAAACACCTTACTTCGCTAACATTCCTGAAGGGCGTAGGCCAATCAAGGATCTTATTCGTTTTCCTGGTGTCTGGACGACGACCTTGCTCATTGCATACAAAACCCAATATAGTAACTTCTTTCATACAGTGTCTGGACTTAGCTCCGCTAGCCGTAAGATTATACTCCTGTAACAATTCAAGCACCTTCCTGATATCATTGACATGATCCCGGACAAATTTTCTTATGCCAGGTGCAACCTCTTGCTCATCCTTCATCATTGAGACCTTCACAGCTAGATCATCGATGTACGACTCAGTAATCTGAGGACTGATTGGCTGCATGACTCTCACCATACTCCTTTGCATGATGGCTACCGCGTTTGTCCACCCTTGGGGTGCCACGTTCATGTGAATCAGTCCCCTTGGAGTATGCATTGCTGTTATCGGCCTATCTGTCGGATACACTGGGAACTGGTCGTAACCAGAGTACAGATATATGAGCGAAATAATGGATATTCCAGCACAGGCCTCAGAGAGTTGATCAGCATTAGGGAGCCCTCCAGCATCCCTAACCGTTACAACGTTCAGCCTTTGCAAATCCTGCACCCACCTAAGTACTCCATTTGGCTTGATGAAGCAGAACCACGGCGAGGCATAAGGTCCACTAGAAAACCCTGCCACGTGAGAGTCAATCTTCTCGTCGAGGTATTATACTACCCTTCTCTGATCATCGGGATTTAGGTACCTGACTCCCCTAACATTCCAAGGCTGATGTGGGACTATGTGGATCCGGATCATCTCTATCTTGTCCACATTTAGCCTTCCTCTCTGCTCATCGTTGAAGGCATAGGCACAGTGTTTCTCCCTCATTAAGTCAATTACCAACGCTCTTTCCTGCTTGGTTAAGAACTCAGGTTTTCTAACGATCAGGTTTTTCTCAGTCTCTTTGTTGATACGACATGATTCAACTTCCCATTTCTCTCTCATTTGCCTAATTAATTATCGTTCCTGCTCATAGTACACTCCCTCCTCATGTGTCACTAGGACTGGGACACGGTGACTTTTTTTGTCTACCGTCTTGTACCTCTTTTTTCCCCCTTGCTTGAGCCCACCCCTAAAAAATGCTGACCGCATTCTTGAGCATATGGTCCCTGTAATTTTTTCTCTCTACAAGGCGGCCTGTACACTAATTTCATCCTTCCTCCTTCAGGGAAATCTTACAATTTGTCAACCAAAGCCCGAATGGTCTCCGGTTCCGCCATATCATACGCGGACACCATGTACATAACTTGGTCGATGTTGGTCAGACTCAAGGTCAAACCTCCACTTTCTTCTTCTTCCTCTTCGTCATCAGGCCCCCACTCTAATTCTCTCCTCCTATTTTCAGATTCCTAAAAGGTATATGACCCAGCATTGAGTCGGTTCTTCGAGCTATGAGGACCTGTATTTTTACAGGGGATGACCTCGAAGTTACCACAAGCAGGGTCACATAGAATTACGTACATAGTCCCATCATGCTTGTTCATGATAAGGGACTCTGATCGTGACAAGGACCTTCCTAGTAATATAGGAAGATCCAAAGTTGGTATAATATAAAAGAAGGACCGGACTCTGACACTTCCTATTTCCACAACTACATTCAAGGCGATCCCTATGTAACCCGACTTTCCACTAACCTCATTAAGGTATCCAGAGTCCCTCCTGTCAATATCCAACCCTAGCTTTTCAGTTGTTTCAAGATTCATGATATTCATTTCTGCTCCTGTGTCCACCATCCCAGGGCATCCTTTCCCTCTGATATTAACATCTATGGATCCTGTCCCCACAAATTTCCAGTCCATTTTACTCCCGGCTACTGTCCAATTGACCTACTTGGGAATCAGGTCTCCCATCCTCACTGTTGCTACTCTCTTTCTTGCCAATTTCGTTTTTACTAACTCCCTGAGTTTGGGTGTTGTTGCCAAGGTCTTTTTTAGGTTTAGCAACTCATTATGCCCCTCAAGAAGCTTCTTTACAAAATTCTTCAGATCAACCCGTTCTTCAATCGATGTCTGGTACTTCCATTTCTTCTTTGATTTCTCCCCTGCTTTTTTCTTTCCTCCCTTAGCATCAATCTTCCGTTTCTTAGCCTTCATCTCAACTTGTCTGTCTTCTTCCTCCTTACGTAACTCATCCTGTTCCTCTTCTTCCTCTTCCTCTATCTCGATAGAGGCTCCCCCTTGAGGTGGTATAGGGGCTTGTGTTGTTTCCTTGGGCGCATTTCCTCCTTTAGGTCTCCGTGCAGTATAAGGAACAAAGTTCCTCAGCGCCTGATAAGCGGCTTTTGACCTAGCAGGTAGAGTGACTCTCAAAGCTCTGGGGTTAGGAGCCCTTGGTCCATCATTCTCTTTCCCCTGACCCATCGTGAATACATGTAGCATTTTCATTTATAGGTTCCTCACCTCCTCGCAGATATCAGACATCTTTACATTTAATCTGTCCATCTTATCTATCATGTCTTTCATTCTTCCCAGGGTTTCCCTTACCGACTCTCTGACTTCATTATCTTCTTCTGGCTCAATTTCAACCAGTGACGTCTCTTCTCTTTCCTCACTAATCTTTGCTACTTTCTTTAATTGGTCACTTAGCTCATCAATTTCTTGTACCTAAACAAAAGGATCCTCTTTCTCCTGCCATATACGAAACATGGCAGGGGCGCTTGGTCCAAGTCCTGCAACTCTGATGGCTTCTTTTTTTGTGCCTCCGGGGATGTTTGGGTCGATCTTATCTCCTCTCTTATCGAACACATCCCCGTCGATACTTGATGTGATCAAGCCGTCTTGTTCATCCATCCTCCTAACATGACACTTCTTAGGGTATGTCATTTTATCGTACAGTGCGTACATACGCACTCGCTGTAGTTTATCCATCCTTTTCCGGTCCCTTGACCATTCCATTGCCCATCACTTCTTCCAAACCCTCTTCCGTAATTCTGGTTATAGCCTTGACCATAACCCTGGCCATAACCCTGACCAAAACCTTGGTTGTAACCTTGTCCAATTTGATTAAAGTTCGACTGATTGTAGTTTCCAGCCTGATTACCTCCTTGACTTCCCCAATTCCCACCTTGTCCACCATTTCCTCTTCCTCCAAATCCTCTTCCTCCATTGTCATTTCCTCTTCCTCCATTTCTCCCCTTACCATGTCCTTGACCGTGCCCCTATCCCTGAAATTGTCCTTGGTTACCTTGTGGCGGCAGAGCATTTTGTGGCATCCCCCCATTCGCTCCTTGCCCTTGGGATGCTCCTGCCCCAGCACCTTGAACCTGGGGCAAGTTTAGGTTCATCCCAATTTGACCAAAACCCGACAACTGATTCCCGGGGTAATATCCCGGCCACGTCCCCATAGGAGTCACCACTGGCCATGGTCCGAATGGAGGAACTGGGGCTGACGTCCCTGCGACATTCGGTACCCCAGTTTGCTGTGAACTTTGTCATTTTCCTCCTCCCTGTTTCCTCGGCGCATGATTTTGGTTCTGCTTTTGGGCTTTCTTAGCTTGCGTTGCCACTTCAGGTTTTGCTTCTTCTTTATTTTCATCACTCTCCTCTTTATGTCTCCTCTTATTTGTCACTTGTTCAACTGTCATTACCTTTTCCGACTCCACCTTGTCCTTGAACTCTTTCAGTTGAGTGACCATATTGCTCAACACTCCTCCTAAGGCTGAGTCAGCTTCTTGGACGATACCTATTCCTTCCTCCTTTTCCTTTTCATCTTCACTTGATGGTGGAATACCTCGTCGAGATCCCCAGATGCCAATTTTTTCTTTATTGTCTCCCAGGAAGTCTTCTTCCCCGGTGCCCCTCCCCGGGTCAACTCCATAGTCTTATATCCTGAAAACTTTCCCAGAAAGATGACACACTGCATCTCCTCTGAAAGTCCTGACACTCGTTTTGCCATTTTTTCGAATGTCATTGCAAACGTCTCTATCGTGGTGAAATCATTTCGGTTGACATTATAAAGCTGGTCGATTGTCAACAACCCATCTCCCAACTTATACTTTCTTTGCATTTCTATTTTGAAATTGTTCCAGTTCCCTTGGGCATCGGCCACAATCTGTTCAACGTCGGGGCGATATTCCCACCACACATATTCAAACAATTGGGCGAATTTTTCCGTCGGCGTCAGTCGATTAAAGACTTGCTCCAGCAGCTCAAGCCAGTGCGATACTCTTTCTCCCTGGAATGGAAAAACTTCTATCCGAGGTAGTAGGGACCTTCTGACATTTCTATTGTCCAGTAGTCGTGCGATCTCGGCTGCTGTTATGGATTCTAACCCATTTGCATCTCCCATTTTTCCCGCTCGTTCTTTAGCAAATCTCTGTTGCACAGACAAAAACGATGGGTTTTCGGATTAAATTTTCGGTCGTTTCACCTTTTTTCTTTTTTAAACTTTTTTCTTTTTATTCCATATACTATTTAAGACTCTCCGCATCTACATTTCTAGTTTATGATTCCTACCTTTCCTCGCCAATCGACACTCAATAGTTTCCCTAACCAGTATCCCTACCTTACTTTTAAATACCCAAGTCCAACCTCCTCTGTCATCTTAAGATCAAAATTTGGTCCTGGTCACCTTCCCAAATCCTTTTACCATCTCATTCGTCCGATCTCTTCAACGAACACCCAGTCGCCTGTCCAGGAATCATACACCATCCCAAACATTATCGGGATACCATCAGCACATGCCCTGATTTTTAGCTCTGCCTTAAGTTTTTTCCAATATGTCTGTCTTGGTTCCATGAAATGAACTTGTACGTAAGCGTTAATCGTTGATAGGATTTCCTCGAAATCCCTACTAGCCAACTCCGGCCCCATCTCTAGATATAGGCAGTAGAGGGTCTCTGGTGTGAAAATTTTGTACCCTCCCTGGGGCGCCACTCGAGCTGCTAAGGCCGCTTGCTCTACATTCACGTGTCCATTGAAAACTTCATCAATGATGAAGTCTGGAAGAGTGGCTATTATATAATCGGTGGGGTAAACGAAATCCGATGCCCACTTTGCTTATATTATTGATATCACCGGCATGAACTCCCCCCAGCTTGCTTCTCGGATTTTCTCCTCAAGGATTCTCCCAGTGATTAGGATATATCGTGATAAGGGTTGACTGTGCCCTATCGCCAGATCTACTTCATGCATCCTCCACAGATGCGATGAAAGATACAATGTCGCTCATACTATTATACTTTCCCGATCGAGGGTGTGTCCCATTTCAACCCATACAAATGCTTCCCGCCCCGATTGAGGTACCCCACCATGCGGTGATCTCCTCCACTCTTTCGCTCAGGCCTCTAGGCAGGGACATTCTTAACCCTTGCGGCGTACGAACGGGGAGTTCGACCCTGAATTCCTAAATGGCATACAACATTTTTGGGGTGATCGTTGGTGGCCTGAGTGATAAAAAAAGGAGAGACAAAAGACACACAATATTTATATGTAAGTAGTATTTGGTATTGACATATCCACCCTCTATATTTTTCTCTTTCTTTTGCCGATCTGAGATATAAATATTTCTACCATAATCTTCTTATTTCTTCATATCACACTCTCACCTCTTCTTAGTACTTGTCCCTTCTTCTTCTTCATCCACCTACTGATTCCTTTCAGTCTCGTATTTTTCTCCCTTTTCTCACTTCATGCCCTTCTATTTTCTGGTCATCCTCTTCTGTCATTCCTAGAATACAAATCCTCTCTCTTCTTCTTCCATTTCTTCTGCCATAACCCAATCCCCAGACCAGAAATTATAGACGAAACCAAACATAGCGGGAACACCATTTACGCAAACTCCTGAGCGCACTTCCTCTTTCAGCTTTTCCCAATACCCAAACCTTTCCTCCATATGGTAGGTTCGAGGATATGCGTCGACGATGGATAAAATATTGCAGAAATCACTCTCGGCTAATTCCTGCCCCATCTCCAGGTACAAGCAGTGAATCATATGAGGAGTGGAGAAGTCATATCCTCTATTAGGTACCCTTAGCGCGGCGCGACCAATTTCACCCTTGCCTGACCATTAAACATCTCATTGATAACGAAATCAAGGAATGTGGTTCTAATGTAACGAATTGGAAGAATAAAGTCCTTGGCCGGAAGCACTCTGACATCCTTCCTAAACTCTCCCGCTTCCTGCCATCGACTCTCTCGAATTCAGACGTTGAGTGCGGCTTCCGTTATCCCAGTGAGTTGTAGCAGATACCCTTCTTCCCCTTGATTAAGATGACCCTGCCATAGGCGAGTAGATAGGTAAATGATGACTCTCACCCTACTGCATTCTTCTATCGTATCCCAACTTTTCTCTACCCACATAAATGCTTCGGTCTCTAGCGTGTGGCCCCACCATGTGTCGCAAAGTTCAGCTCTGCCTTTCCCTTTCGGCAGTGTCATTTTCAAACCATCATTGTTCCTAATAGGTGCCTCAACCCCAGACACCTGCCCTGCATAAGGCATCTTGATCAAGTCCCGAAGACCTCGTTTTGTGACCTGTCACAAGGGCAAGCCAAATGACAACTTATTTAATGTACTGCTTTAGTTACTGATTTTTTGGTACTCTTACTACGGAATAGCCTGACCTAGAAATACGTATTTTTTTCTGTATTTTTCCTGGCATACCCCTTTATTCTTTAGCTTCTCCTGGTCTGACCTCAGTAAGGATCATGAGGATCCAAATTATTTTTTCTCAACCCAACTCAGATGGATTTCCTCACGTCTTTTTTCCAGTCAGTAATGAGAGAGAGTCTGGACCTCATCCCCCCTTACTTCTTGCTTCTAGATAATCCCTTTATATATTAGGTATAAGATTAATCCACACATCTCTATTTGGCACAGGAAGAACAACACTAATGTGACACATAACCGGTGGTTTGTCGGTGTGCTTTGAGATGCCACGAGAGGATCAGGTATGTATGGTGGTGGAGGTGGAAGGGCAGGCTGAGGTGGTTGGGGAACTATAGCCAGTTGCTGAGGGCGGCGTGCCATGGAAGACGATGGCGCAGGATACGAATGAGATGAAAGTAACTCAAATCGCGGTGGTGGAGCGCCATAATGCTGATCATACTTATAAGAATAATATGCCATATTTTCGGGGGACGGGGTGCGTTCGCGAAAATCTTCCACACGCTGGCGCAAACGCACCCCCTCCCATTTTTCCTCTTCCTCCTCCTCTTCTTCTCGCTGTTCTCTTTCCTTCGTCAAATCGATTGGCCTTTCCGCCGCCTTTCCTTGTCGTCCACCTCTTCCTCTTCCATCTCCAGTTCCGTGAGGCATGGTGGAAAGCTTTATCTCAAGGAGTACCCTAAGTACCTAATTGAGGTAATATCTAATACTCAAGATACGTATAGTTACTAAGGAATTCCTACCCGATGTATGAATGATAGGAAGAAGTGTCACAATCAAAAGGGATTATCACAGAGAAGAAACTTTCAAATGGTCTTGTAGCTTCCTATTAGGTCTTCCGCTCTGAATGATTTTATACGCTCTCCTTCTAGCAGCCAAAAGGAACAAGTTTCTTCCCAGGGGACGTACAAACTAAACTTGTCAAGATGTTGTTCAGGGTATTTCAACTCGCACTTGTCGTATTCCCAAAGCACCTCTTCCGACACTAGGCTCGTACCAACAAAATATTCTATAGTCTTACTCCCTTTACCTGGTGAAGACTCATATACTATCCTACCTTCTTACTTGTCGTTTTGCTAGGGCTTCAATTAACCAGACCCAGGTCCGTTCACATAGGACCCCGGCAGGCAACCGAAGGTCCCCGGCAACACATCAATTTGTTGCCGGTGGACAAATTGCATCTCTAGTGATAGTCACGTTATCGATTAAACCGAAGGTTGTTGTTTTGCCGTGATCATCGTTTCACCATACCCGAGTCCGTTCACTAAGGACCTCGGCTGGAAAGCGAGATCCCCGGCAACGGCGCTACCTGTCGCGCGCGGCGGTCCCACACCCCGCTGGGAGCGCTGAACCTCACGGTCGTGTCACGCAGGATTTATTTTCGAAGAACCAACTTATCACCACTTCAACCGTGCGCGCGTGCTATACATCTCACGACACCCTGCGACAGGTCGGGAGGTACAACTTACCTCTACCCGAGGGGCTGTCACCACCTCAGGTAGGCGTATCCCTGCTGAGCTACCGGCCCACGTGCGAAGGTTTTTACATGCCTGAGTAGAGGTAGGTCGGCCGAGGGCGTTTGCTCCATCGTTGTAGCATAATATGGGGTACGCGCCGTAAGACGCCTAGGACTGACCCGTTAGATATTCAGGTCGAACTTTGAGACGGTCGTCTATTCCCGCTTTTATTCCGAAGACACATTCTCATTCTGA